TCCTCATCCTCATTATCGTCGTCATCATCATCATCAGCAGAATCATCATCAGCATCAGCATCAGCATCAGCATCAGCATCATCATCATCGTCGTCATCATCGTCAGCATCGTCATTATCATCGTCGTCGTCATCATCGTCATCATCATCATCGTCGTCGTCATCATCATCATCGTCATCATCATCATCGTCATCAGCAGCATCATCAGAATCACCATCGTCAGCATTAGAATCACCAGCATCAGCAGCACCATCATCGCCATCATCTTAATCGCCATCATTAGCAGCAGCAGAAGCATAATCAGTAGGATCAGCAGTATCAGCATCATCATCAGCAGCATCATCATTATTATCATCACCATCAGCATCACCATCATCTGAATAATCAGAATCATCATCAGCATCATCATCATCATCAGCATCATCATCATCATCATCATCCTCATCATCATCATCATCGGCAGCAGCATCAGCAGCATCATCATCATCAGCATCATCATCAGCATCGGCATCATCAGCATCATCGTCAGCATCATCATCAGCAGCATCATCATCATCATCATCATCATCAACATCATCATCATCATCATCATCATCATCATCATCATCATCTCGTCATCATCATCATCAGCAGCAACATCATCATCGCCATCACCATCATCACCAGCATCAGCATCTTCATCATCATCGTGAGCAGCATCATCATCAGAACAACCATATTCATCTTCACCATCAACATCACCAGAATCATCATCATCACCAGCATCATCGTCATAATCATAATCACAATAATCATCGTCGTCACCACCATTATCATCATCAGCATCATCATTGTCATCACCATCAACATCATCTCATCGAAATCTCATCACCACCATCAGCATCATCATTATCATCACCATCAACATCATCTCATCGAAATCTCATCACCACCACCACCACCATCATCATCATCATCATCAGCAGCAGCAGCATCCCTTCTCCCTCCTCCCTCCTCTCCCCTCCCCCTCTCCATCCCTCATCCTCCCCCCAAGAGCTCTCCGAAGCCCTCCAGACGTCTGCGGAGTCCCAAGGAGTCTCTGAACTCTGGATGCCCCCAGGGGATCACAGAAATCTAAGTGAACGCCAGTTCAAACAACAGCAGCAGCAGCAACAACAACAACAAAACAGAAAGTCGAAGAACTGGGTGCCGCACTCCCCCCCTATCTGGGAGAGTGAGGAAGGAGATCCGCCCGATGGGACGCCTGCACGGGGCGGCGCTTGTTTTCTTCATCAGCCGATCCGTAAATCCAACATCGGCTGCAGGTGCGCACTCCCCGCGATACGCACTGCCTATCTGCTGGCCTCCAGACCGTGAGGCGCCCTCAGCGGGCCGAGCTGAAGCTGCGGTGGCAGGCGCTAGCCGTTCACTGGAGCGCCTGCACAGGACGGCGCCCCCAGCGCCTTCGCAAGGGGAACGCCTGGCGCGGAAAACGGCGCACCGTCTCACTTGGGACGCACAGAGACATGCTAGTACGATATGTCCGCCTTGGAGGCGCACGTCCGACCCGAACATATTGTATGCCCCTCTTGTAGTACATCGCTTCCCGAGCGGTGTGGCCAGAAAGCACCAACCACGACGCATATGCCATTAGATTTCTCGGTGCGCGCGTCGCCCCTGGGGGGGCGACGCACATATAGTAAAGTATGTTGGGGTGACGCCGATCACTCCATCCTCCGAAGGACTCGGGTTTGGGGGACTCGGGTTGGCCTGGAGAGGCCGTCAAGAAAATGACGAGGCCCAGTCTGAAACTTGACGCGAGCTCCCGCTGCAAACGCCCCACGAAAACTGGACCGCCAGAATCCAGGATGGGCCCGCCAAACAAAACGGCAGCTCCAAGCTCCGGCGAACTCGCGCCCGACGTTTCTCCGCTCCGTCCTCTTGCTCTCGGGCCCCATCGAGGGCCGCTCGAGTCGGTCGGGCAAGGCAGGGCCACTGCAAAGCGCACCTGCGCACGGAGAGGCGACGGGGGGGAGACGAGCGGCCTGCCGCGGAGGAAGAGGAGAGGAAGGCGGCCCCCACAAACCACGTAAGCCTTGTAGCGGCGTGCTGCGGCCTAGGCTCGAGGGAGCACTCTCTCGGGCACGCGCTAACGCGGATGAGGGCCCCCCTAGTAGAGCAGGGGAGGGGGGGGAGCTGCCGAATCCACCCCCTCTGCAAAGGGAAATCCTGGCTTGCCCCAACTTCGCAAGGGGGAGAGGGCGGGGGTAGCTTCCGAACCCTCCCCCACGTCAAACGGGAGCCCCGGTTTCCTGAAGGGGAGAACGGGGCAGCTTCGGAAGACCCCCCCCTTTTTGGAAGAAAGGGGGAGGGTAGCTTGAAGCTGGGCCTCCCCTTTTGGTTTTCCTGGTCCCCGTGGCGCGCTCTGTCGCAATTCGAACAGCGGGCCTAAGGACCGAAGGTGAGGTTTCCAGGGCTGGATACACTCACTGTTTCATTTTTCTTGGCTGTCTACAACCCTGGCGGGATGCTGCCAAAGCTGAGCGGAACGCGAATCCCACCAGCCCTTTGGGCGTGAGTGGTTCAATGAGTTTTCTCTTCCGACCCCCCTTGTTCCCTTTCGTGGGGGGGTATCAGTGTTCCCCATTACTAACCCCCTCCCCCATGCGACCGACAGCCAACCCGGCCAAACGACAACACCCCCCACACCATCCCTGCTCAAAAACAATGCGAAACACAGTTTGGCGCACACCGTGGGACATGCTCGTGGGCCCCGCGAGCACTTTACATTGTTCTCAACTCTCTTGATTTCAGTTCGCGTTTTGAACAGGTCACTGTGGTATCCACTCCTTTTCGCTATCCTTTTCCTCCCCCCTTTTCCTGCCTCCATCTGCGCTGCTCCCTGGGTGGCTGTGAACTGCGAACTGTCGCCACGTTCGCGGGTTCCTAGGAGTCTATCAGAGCGGAGGCGTACGCGCATCCAGCAGAGACCTCGCGGCTCCCTAAGTGGTGACGGAAGGCGTAACTGACGCAACTTTCGTGGGCGCCTGGGAGCTCCAGCGAGGTGGAGGTGCACGCGCACTCAGACGGGACCCGGCTGCTCCCTAGGTGGCTGCAAACTGCGCAACTGTCGCCATTGTCGTGGGCTCTTGGGAGGCCCAGCGGGATGGAGTTACACGCTCATCCAGGAAGTACTTTCGTGGGTTCCTGGGAGGTCCAGCAAAGTGGACGCGTAAGCGCATCCAGCCGAGACCTCGCAGCTCCCTGGGTGGCTGCGAAGTGCGCAGCTGTCGCCACTCTCGAAGGTTCCTGGGAGGCCCAGCGGAGCGGAGGCGTAAGCGCATCCAGCCGAAGCCTCACGGCTCCCTGGGTGGCTGCGAACTGCGCAACTGTCGCCATTCTCGCGGGCTCGTGGGAGGGCCAACGGAATGGAGGTGCACGCGCATCCAGCCGAGACCCCACGGCTCAAGATGGCTACGACCTTCGCAACTGTCGCCAATCTCGTGGGCTCCCGGGAGGTTCAGCGGAGTCGGGGGGCACGCGCCCCAAGACGAGGCACCGCTGCTCCCTGAAAGGCTGCGAAATTCACAATTGTCGCCGCTCTCATGGGCGCCTGGAGGTCCACGGGGGGTCGGGGGGCACGCGCGCCCATATGGGACCTCGCTGCTCCAAGGGTGGCTGGGGCCCGTTCGTTTATTCGGGCTGGTCACGGGCATGACCGGGGGCGAAGGGTACGCCGCGCCCGTCACGTCACGGCGGGGGTGCGCCTGGGGTGCAACATGCCCGTAAGCACCGTAGCACGCCTGCGAAAAATTACTCACTGCGTGGAGATCCCCATATGTGCATCTTAACAGGATAATTGTCAGTGGGATCTGGGAATGCGCGTCTAGCCATGCAACGCAACATGCGAATATCATGTTGAGACATCCCCACGGAACGGCCACGAACGGAGCCTTGAAAACACCCTTGGCGGCTCCCCCTAGGGGGGCTGAAACCAGCGCCCCGCCTGAGACATCCGCACAATCTACTCTGGTAGCCAAGGATGTTGAGACAGAAAACAATCAAACCGCTTGAGACATCCCCACAAAACGGCCGCGAACGGGACCGTGAAATCATCCCTGGCGGCTCCCATTAGGGGTGCTGAAACCAGCGCCCCGCAATTCTGAGTATGAGGTAGTCTGGGTATGAGTGAGTCTCAGCATGAGTAAGTCTCAGTAGGAGTATATCTGAGTATGAATACGTGTGAGTATGAGTAAGCTTATGTCTATTCGCATGGACCTGTCCGCCGTGAATATCTAAGCGAGAAAGTTTTCGAATATGAACGGGCTTCAGTTGTGACGGTCTGGTCATGAATCTAACTGAGAATGAATTGGAGTGTGAATGAACCTCAGTAGTACGAGCGCGTCTCTGCGCATGGGCCTGGGTCCTCCTGGGGCCTCCTGGGGCCTCCTGAATCCTACTGGGGTTTCCTGGGGCCTCCAAGGAGGAGGATACGTGCCCCAGGAGAGGCGCAATCTATAGCAACAGACGTACATAAAACATTGCGGATTGGAGCCACAGGAGAAGGGGGCAACCTATAGGAACACGGACTCGTGCCCCAGGAGAGGCCCTATAGGAACATAAGTACACAGGAGAAGGACAACATATATATATATATTATATATAGATATATAATATATAATATATATTATATATATATAGTAATTATATTAATACATACATACGCGTATGACATCAAGGATTCGTGCTCCAGGTGAGGCCCAACCTATAGGAGCATACGTCAAGCACATGGGATTGGAGCCACTCCTGTTGCCTTCTGAGGCCTCTTGCTCCTGGGGCCTCTCGGGGCCTCCTGTTGCCTTCCGAAGCCTCCTGGCGTTTCCTCTGGCCTCCTGGGACCTCCTGGGGTTTCCTGAGGCCTCCTGGAGCTTCCTGGGGCCTCCTAAAGCCTCTTAGGACATCCTGTGGCCTCTTAAGTTTTTCTGTTGCCTCCTGATGCCTCCTGGGACCTCATGTGGGCTCCTGGGGCCTCCTGGGGCCTGTTGGAGCCTCCAGTGGCATCCTGAGGAGAATCTGTGCTCACGAGTCTGGCCACCGATCGAGACATCCTCAAAATCTGGCCCACCAGGGGGGGGGGAATGACCGCCTGGCTCGAGACATCTTCCAAATCTGCTCCGAAAGCGAAGGATGTTGGGACAGAAAATTACTCGTTTCGTGGAGCTCCCCATATGTGCATCTCATGTTTTATATTATGCCGTAGTGAGCGTCTGTTCATGAGCGCTTGACTATAATAGCCCGTCCACGTTGGCGACAGGCCCGACGAAGACGAGTGTATCCTGATGCGAGTGAGTGAGTATGAGTCAGAGTGAGCTGATTATGATCGAACATGAGCCTATTCATCTTCACTCCCCCTCCTCAGCTGCCAGGCCGTGCCCTCCTCAGCCTGCGGTAACTTCGGAGCTCCCCAGATGTGCATACTCTTACTCCTCCTCTTCCTCCTCCTCCTCCTCCTCTTCCTCCTCCTCCTCCTTTTCCTCCTCCTCCTCCTCCTCCTCCTCCTCCTCCTCCTCCTCCTCCTCCTCCTCCTCCTCCTCCTCCCCCCCCTTTCCTCCATCTTCAAAATCTGTTATGAAAGTCAAGCGTGTTGAGCATGGAAACGAGCAAACCGCCTGAGACATCCCCACAAGCTGGCCGCGAACGGGCCCGTGATATACCACCTGGCGGCTCCCCTTCGGGGTGCTGAAACCAGCGCCCCGCCTGAGACATCCTCACGCTCTGCTATGAAAGCCACGGGTGTTGGGCATGACAACGAGCAAACCGCCTGAGAGATCCCCGCAAACTGGCCGCGAACGGGCCCGTGATATACCCCCTGGCGGCTCCCCTTCGGGGTGCTGAAACCAGCGCCCCGCCTGAGACATCCTCACATTCTGCTATGAAAGGCACGGGTGTTGGGCATGACAACGAGCAAACCGCGTGAGCCATCCCTACAAACTGGCAGCGAACGGGCCAATGATGTACACCCTGGCGGCTCCCCTTAGGGGTGTTGAAACCAGCGCCCCGCCTGAGACATCCTCACACTCTGCTATGAAAGCCAAGGATGTTGGGCATGACAACGAGCAAACCGCCTGAGAGATCCCCGCAAACTGGCCGCGAACGGGCCCGTGATATACCCCCTGGCGGCTCCCCTTCGGGGTGCTGAAACCAGCGCCCCGCCTGAGACATCCTCACATTCTGCTATGAAAGGCACGGGTGTTGGGCATGACAACGAGCAAACCGCGTGAGCCATCCCTACAAACTGGCAGCGAACGGGCCAATGATGTACACCCTGGCGGCTCCCCTTAGGGGTGTTGAAACCAGCGCCCCGCCTGAGACATCCTCACACTCTGCTATGAAAGCCAAGGATGTTGGGCATGACAACGAGCAAACCGCCTGAGAGATCCCCGCAAACTGGCCGCGAACGGGCCCGTGATATACCCCCTGGCGGCTCCCCTTCGGGGTGCTGAAACCCCGCCTGAGACATCCCCACAATCTGCGATGAAAACCAAAGATGTTGAGCACGAAAACAAGCAAACCGCCTGAGACATCCCCACAAACTGGCCGCGAACAGTCCCGTGATATACCCCCTGGCGGCTCCCCTTAGGGGTGCTGAAACCAGCGCCCCGCCTCAGCGCCCCGCCTGAGACATCCCAAAAATATGCGTACGTCTGTGTATGGGTAAGTCTGAGTATGAGTAGGTCTGAATATGAGAATGTATGGGTATGCATAAGTCTGTGTATGAGCACTTCTGGGTATGAGCAAGTCTGAGTATGAGTAAGTCCGACAGGAGGGGAGGACGAAGGAGGAGGAGGAGAGGAGGAGAGGAGGAGGAGAGGAAGTAGGAGGCGCCCAAGTAATAACAAGAACCCCATCTTAGGATATGGGGAACAAGCAAACCGCTTGAGACATCCCCACAAAACGGCCGCGAACGGGACCGTGCAACCCCCCTCGGCGGCTCCCCTTCGGGACGTGAAAATGAGCGCCTCGCTTCTGCTCCGAATGCGAAGCATGTTGGGACAGAAAACAGACAAACCGCTGGAGGCATCCCCACAAAACGGCCGCGAACTGGGCGTGCGTGAGTTTCAGCATGAGTAAGTCTGAGTAGGAGTAGGTCTGAGTATGAGCAGGTCTGAGTCTGAGTAATTTTGTGTGTGAGTAAGTCTGGGTCTGAGTAAGTCTGAGTGTGAGTCAGTCTGTGTATGAGTAAGTCTGGGCACGAGGAGGAGAGGGGAGGAGAAGGAGAAGAAGGAGGAAAAGTCGGCGGCGTCCAAGAAATAACAAGAACCCCATCTTAGGATATGGGAAACAATCGCCTGCGACCCGGCAGTAAAGACGCGCCTGTGACCAGCGCCACAAGTGCTTGCGATCCAATCAACGCGACGTGACTGTGAACATCACAATGCTTCTGAAGAGCACAACGACCGTGAACACCACAGCGCCTGTGAACACCGCAGCGCCTGTGAACATAGCGCCTGCGAACACCACAGCACCTGTGAAAACCACATCGCCTGTGCACACTACACAGCCGGAAAATTAGCCTGGCGAAGGACCCAACCATATGCAGTTGTGAATATTGCAAATATGAATATCGTTTTCGGTGGCGCTACCTCTGGGTAGGGGAGACGCATGCGAATACCCCCACTGGGGCCTTCGGTGGAGCTCCCTATGGGGCTACGAAACGCTGCCCTGGGTGGGGGAACCGCATGCGGGCACCCCCACTGGGGCCTTCGGTGGAGCTCCCTATGGGGCCACGAAACGCTGCCCTGGGTGGGGGAACCGCACGCGGGCACCCCAACTGGGCCTTCGGTGGAGCTCCCTATGGGGCTACGAAACGCTGCCCTGTGTGGGGGGGGACCGCATGCGGCAGCCCCACTGGGGCCTACGGTGGAGCTCCCTATGGGGCCACGAAACGTTGCCCTGGGTGGGGGAACCGCATGTGGACACCCCCACTGGGGCCTTCGGTGGAGCTCCCTATGGGGCCACGAAACGCTGCCCTGGGTGGGGGAACCGCATGTGGACACCCCCACTGGGGCCTTCGGGGGAGCTCCCTGGTAGTGGGGCTAAGAAAACGCTGACTGGGTGGGGGAACCGATGTGGACACCCCCACTGGGGCCTTCGGTGGAGCTCCCTATGGGGCCACGAAACGCTGCCCTGGGTGGGGGAACCGCATGTGGACACCCCCACTGGGGCCTTCGGTGGAGCTCCCTATGGGGCTACGAAACGCTGCCCTGGGTGGGGGAACCGCATGTGGACACCCCCACTGGGGCCTTCGGTGGAGCTCCCTATGGGGCTACGAAACGCTGCCCTGGGTGGGGGAACCGCATGTGGACACCCCCACTGGGGCCTTCGGTGGAGCTCCCTATGGGGCTACGAAACGCTGCCCTGGGTGGGGGAACCGCATGTGGACACCCCCTACCAAACAGAAACGCTGGAGCCCTGGGTGGGAGAAAACGCATGTGGACACCCCACTGGGGCCTTCCGGGAGAGCTCCCTATGGGGCTACGAAACGCTGCCCTTGGGTGGGGGAACCGCATGCGAACACCCCCACTGGGGCCTTCGGTGGAGCCCCCTATGGGGCCACGAAGCGCTGCCCTGGGTGGGGGAACCGCATGCGAACACCCCCACTGGGGCCTTCGGTGGAGCTCCCTATGGGGCTACGAAACGCTGCCCTGGGTGGGGGAACCGCATGTGGACACCCCCACTGGGGCCTTCGGGAGAGCTCCCTATGGGGCTACGAAACGCTGCCCTGGGTGGGGGAACCGCATGTGGACACCCCCACTGGGGCCTTCGGTGGAGCTCCCTATGGGGCTACGAAACGCGTGAGAGGTGTGCCGAGAGCAGAGGCAAGGAGGGGGAGGAGGGAGGAGGGGGGGGAGGAGGAGAAACGCGGGGCACCGTCTCTTCAAAACGAGGACCCAACACCACAGGATGGTTGGGAAAAACAAGCACTGCGCTGGTGAACACGACAACGCCTGTAAACACAGCGCGCGCCAGCACCACAGAGCCTGTGCGCAAGCACTAGCAATAGCAGTAGTAGAAGCAGTAGTCGCAGTTGAGATAGCAGCAGCAGTAGTAGTAGTAAGAGTAGTATTGTCATTAGTATCATTATAAGTATCATTAATCGTAGTAGTATGTTTCGTATTCTTACATTAATACTTAGTACTGGTATGAGTAGTATGATTTTTAGTAGTGGTCGCAGTAGTAGTAGTAGTAGTAGTAGCAGTAGCAGTAGTAGTAGTAGTAGTAGTAGTAGTAGTAGTAGTAGTAGTAGTAGTAGTAGTATAGTAGTAACAGTAGTAGTCGTAGTCGTAGTCGTAGTCGTAGTAGTAGTAGTAAAAGTCGTAGTAGTAGAAGTAGTAGTAGTAGTAGTAGTTGTTGGTGTTGTTGTTCTTATTGTAGTTGTAGTAGTGGTAGTAGTAGTAGTAGTAGTAGTAGTAGTAGGAGTAACAGTAGCAGTAGTAATACTGGTAGTAGTACTACTAGTAGCCGTAGTAGTAGTAGTAGTAGTAGTAGTAGTAGTAGTAATACTTGTAGTAATAGTCATAGTCGTAGTAATACTACTAGAAGCGATAGTAGTAATAATGTTAGTGAGAATACTGGTAGCAGCAGTAGCCGTAGTAGTGATAGTAGTAGTAGTAGTAGTAGTAGTAGTAGTAGTAGTGGTGGTGGTGGTGGTAAGAGTAGTAGTAGTAGTAATGATAGTCGTAATAGTGGCAGTTGTAGCAGTAGTGGTAGTGGAAGCAGTAGTAGTCGTCGTAGTAGTAGTGGTAATAATAATAATAATAATGATAGAAGTAGTAGTCGTAGTAGTAGCAGTAGCAGTGATAGTAGTAGTAGCAGTAGTAGTAGTCGTAGTGGTAGTAGTGGTGGTAGAGGTAGCAGTAGCAGTGATAGTAGTAGTAGTAGTAGTAGTAGTAGTAGTAGTAGTAGTAGTAGTAGTAGTAGTAGTAGTAGTAGTAGTAGTAGTAGTAGTAGTAGTAGTAGTAGTAGTAGTAGTAGTAGTAGTAGTAGTAGTAGTGGTAGTAGTAGTAGTAGTAGTAGTAGTAATGGTAATAGTAGTAGTATTGCGCAAAACGAGGAGGAGGACGCAGAGGAGAAGCAGGAAGAGGAAGAGGGAGGGAGGGAAGGGAGGAGAGGGAGACCGCGTGAAATCTCGACGGGAACCGTCAGAATCGTCGTCGTCGACAGCGTCGTCGTCGTCAGCGTCGTCGTGATCGTCGTCATCGGAATCGTCGTCGTGCTCCTCCTCCTCCTCCCCCTCCTCCTCGTTCTCATTTTTCTTGCCTTGGACACGGCCCCCTGCATTTGAGCCCGCAATGCCTGCGCACGCCACAACGACTATGAACACCGCAACGTTCACGTACTACACAACGCCCGTGTGCGCATTCAGTGTCCGTGTACACCACAGCGCTGGCGGCTACGAGCGCCGCCCTCCGACCGCCGCGCCAATGCCTCTCAACAATAGTACAACATTGCGTCCCTGAGAGCACCACGCGGCACGCACGCAAGCGCCGCTTTCCCTCGCGAGTGCCAGCGTCCCTGTGAGCACAATAACATGCCTCTGAACACCACAGTAGCCTGCAGGTGCCACAGGACGTCCGCGGTCGCCACGGGACGACCGCCGCGACGTGATCAGGGGGGGGGGGCGGGGCTGGTCACGCCAGTGATCGCCCGGGGCTTTCCCGAACGGGCTCCTGCGAACTGGGAAACTGTCGCCACTTTCGCGGGCCGAAGCCCAGCGAAGACGGGGGCCACGCGCACCCAGACGGCACGTCGCTGTTCGCCTGGGTGGTTGCCAACTGCGCCAGCGGTATGCCCCCTGCGAAGGGAACATCGACCTGATGCCCGCTGTCTTCCGGGCGTGGAACGAAGGCGCCAACCATTGCCGCTTGATATGATGCAGCTCCGACGTCGATTTGTGTCCGAAATACGCGCACGGCGGCCTGTCCTCCGGCTTTACCCATGGCAAGTGGGCGTCGGCTCTGACAGCCAAACACTCCTGAGCGCCTCAGGTGCTCGCCGCTGCGCGTGTTCGTCCTCAGGTCCCAGCACCCCCCGCCCCGTGCTCCCCCACGACCGCAACCCGTCTCTGCTCGAAGCCGAGGTGGAGAAGCCCAGATCGTGCGCAGCACTGCACGGGCGCGAACGTTTCTCAAAGCCGCATTTCGGCGGCGACGATAGGGGCGACTAGCCCAAGGGCGGGCAGCACACGTATTCGCCCAGGAGCCTTTTCGAAGACATAGATCATCGGCGCACCTGAATACATGTATTGCTCACCCCTGGGCTATTCGCCCCTGTAGTCGCCTCTGAGCATTGATGAAAGGTTCGCCCATGATCGAGACCCGACCAACCAGCGGAGTCTGCCAGAAGTCCCCGACGAGAAGCACGCTGGCTCCGCCCAACCGCCGCGTTCCCAGGAGGATGACCGTCGCATCAGGGAAACATTGTAGGTGGCACTGTCTGGAAGGTACTGATTCACTGACTGCCTACCAGACCACCCCAACCCAACCCGAAGACCCGAATTTGACCCGAATTTCGGGTTGGGGGGGGTACGGATACCACGTGTTTTTTCAACGTTCCCCGACCCCCCCCCACTGGAAATCGAGGATAAATTTGGGCCTTCGGGTTGGGTTGGGGTGGTTTGGTGGGTGGTGATTCACACTGTCACTCAAACCGGACAACGATTCGCACCCCGCCGCATCAATCTCGTCGACGAAAATCCATCGCAGGGACGCGCACCCCGCACTCATCGGGCGCAGGTCGTCATCGCCTCGTTGCCACGGCTTGCACCTCGGCGCCATCCTCGGAGGGCGCCGGCCTCGCGCGGGCGCCACACATCCCGCCGGAGGCCGCTCGTGAGCCGGGATCCGTGCCACGCTCTCCCCGATTCACCGCGCAGTCATACGCAACTGAAGGGGAACTGGGACACACAAATAAATAGACACAAATAAAAATATTCCCCATATTCTCATATTTTCTGGATTTCGGTCTTCCCCCCCACTTCCCATATTTTCCCATATTTTCTGGGGATCGACGAATAATTGTGTCTGTGTGTTTCTTTTCCTCCTGAGCAACGATCCCAGCCCCCGAACGGCGTCGCCAGTCGGCGCCACGCCCGGCGGGCACCTTCCGACGCCATTGGCCACAGATCCGATTTCCCCCAGGAGTGGACGGTCGACCCATCGATGTGCGCTGGCATGCTGCTCATGAACGCAACCTTCACGAGATGCACGCCCGGAGTCAAGCGCCACATCTTCTCGAAATACTGCGCCAATCACAACAGGTCTGCACTCTTCGAACCTAGAATCGCGTGCGCCAGCCGCAGGCACGGCTCCGACCCAAAGGGCGCACTGCACGAAGCCTCGCACCCCCGGACGCACCGGGCCTGCACCTGTCCAGGATGGCCCACCGCTCTGCGTAAAGGGCGCCTCGGGCTCCTGATCAGGCCTTGTCGCCAAGTGTCGCACTCCGTTCCCTCTGCCGTGTGTGTACAGGTCCGCTCCTGCTGTGCGGCACCTGCGGCCCCCCCGCGGCTCGTCTCCCAAAGCCTCCCCGCGCCTGCCCAGCCTCTGCGCACCGGCTAGCGCGCTGGGGCCCTCCTCCGCCGTTCTTCGCCGCGCGGTGCGACATGACATGGCCTCTCGGGCACCGACGAGCCTCACGGCTTGCGGCACTCGGGCATCCCCCTGCCCTTCGGAAGGCGGCCTCCGCAGGCGCTGGATGGGCCAAGAGCGCCCGAGGACGGCCCAAGACGCTTCCAAGAGGCCCCCACTAGACCCCCAGGAGCCCCTCTCACACACACACACACACACACACACACACACACGCACGCCTGCGAGGTGCAGATGCAAACATATTCTCTTGGCAACGGCCCGCGCAACCTGCATCTCTCAGCTCACTGTACCTGCAGTAAACGCACCACTGCCTCTGCAGACATCATTGTCTAGGAACCTACCTCTGGAGCCAAGGAGTCACGCGACCCTGAGCGTCACCAAGACAGCATGAGCGCTCCCGGGAACGAGCCGACCTCCGTTGAGGAGACCAGAAGCAAGCTCTATCAGATGCAACGCGAAACCTATACAACGATACGCTCACGCATCGCCGCGGCCTGACTCCGCAGCTTGGCGCGGTGGCGCAATTGTGCGGCAGCGCTACTGGATAGTCATCATCAGCAGCAGCATCATCATCAGCATCATCGTCATCATCATCATCATCATCATCATCATCATCATCATCATCATCATCATCATCATCGTCATCATCATCATCATCATCATCGTCACCATCATCATCATAGTGATAATAATAATAATAAGAACAACAATAATAATAGTAACAATAAAACTAATACTAATACTAATAATAACAAGAATGAAAATAATAATGATGATCATCATCATCAGCATCATCATCATCATCCGCAGCATCATCATCAGCAGCAGCATCATCATCACCATGGTCATCATCATCATCATCATCATCATCACAATCATCACCATCATCATCCTAATCAGGTTCATCCTCATCATCGAATTCATCATCAGCATCAGTATCAGCATCAACATCATCAGCAGCAGCATCATCCGCATCATCATCATCATCATCAGCAGCAGCATCAGCATCAGCATCAGCATCATCATCATCAGCATCATCAGCTTAATCATCATCAGCATCATCGTCATCCATATCCGCAGCAGCAACAGCATCCACCACCATCATCGTGATCATGATCATGATCAGCATCATCAACATCGTCATCATTATCAGCAGCAGCAGCAACATCGTCATCAGCATCATCATCATCGTCGTCCACATCATCATCAACATCATCCTGACCCTCCTCATCATCCTCATCATCATCAGGTCTTTCTTCATCCTCGTCAGCATCATCGTCATCATCATCGTCATCATCATCGCCATCACCATCACCATCACCATCATCATGATCATCATCCTGCTTATCATCAGCATCATCAGCAGCAGCATCATCGTCATGATCATCGTCATTGTTGTCATCAGCCTCGTCATTACCACAATCATCGTAAGCAGCACAAGCATTACGATTTCATCGTACTAGCATTCGGCATCGCCAACATCAGAATGATGATTAGCAGCATCATCATCAGCAGCAGCATCATTATCAGCATCATCATCACCATCATCATCATCATCATCATCATCATCATCATCACCGTCATCACCATCATCATAATTTGCAGCATCACAATCATCGACCACACATCGTCATCGCAATCATCATTGGCACTCCTACCTTCGTCAAGGACATCGTCGTCATCACTGCCACGAGTATCGTCGCCGTCATCATCCAAGGCTCTGACGACGGCGAGGGCACGCGAGGGTCGTCAAGTTCCCTCCCCCATGGTGCTTCAAAGGCTCTGACGACCCTGGCGAGTTCTCCAGCTCATCCCCGCGCTCTTGTCCAGCCTCTGCAGAGGGAGCGCGGGTGCGTTGCTCTGGCGCCCCGCTCCTGACCCCGCCCTCGAAAACGCTGGCGGGGCCCACACCTCACGGGCCAGGGAATCATGTGCAACTCCCAGGGGAAGGTATACGCCTCTGCGGCACGGCTCGCCGGGTACGCTCGCCGTGTTCGGGGGCGGCCAACAGGGGGGCGTCAAAGAGGGAAGGCGCAAATCATGGCCGACGGCATGTGCGCGGCCCCGGGGGGGGGGGGCGGGAACGCACTGAAACAAGAAGAGGCGCCATGAAATCTGGGGAGATATCATGGCCCCCCCCCATGATATCCACCCCCCGATGGTCATCACCCCCCTCTTGGCCGCCCCCGACGTGTGGGAGGTGACATCCCTGAGAGCAGTCCTACAAAGGGCAAGTGCTCAGTTTCAGGCAACACGCATCGGGCTTCGGCCTTGGATGCGCGACGAAATTGCGAAGCCAATCTGGTCGGCGACTAAATTTAAGAAAATATCGCTGGTGATGGTGATGGCGACAGTGAGGAGGATGTCGACGACGACTATGTCGACGACGATGGTGATGGTGATGAAGCTGATGGTGATGGTGATGGTAAAGACGAGGAAACGACGACGCTGGCGATGATGATGAGGATCCCGGTGATGATGGAGACAGCGGCTCACAGCGCAACTTTGGCGAGGGCAACGGCGTGTAAAACGCGTGGATGACTCCCTGGGGCGGCCGCGCGGTTTGAAGCAGCGAACGGCCGAGCTTCTCCAGAACTTGACTGTTAAGCCGTGAGACCATGTACCAAACAGTTGGAACGTCGGATTAGGCTGCGATGAGCCGGGATTGACCTCCCCGGAGTTGTATTCAAAAAAGGGCTGGCAAGGGAGCTTGAAAGCAAGAGAATGCTTTGACAGCATACCGCGAAACAAGCATACCGCTCAGGCCAACCGTCGGCTACCATGCCCTCGCCCTCTGGCTCGTACAAGGGCGGGGGAAATGCCATGAGACCCGAGCACGCTCGAGGCAACCCGCATCAAGGCGTGATCCTCAAAATACAAGACAGAGGTGGCCACGTCGGCCCAGTCCAACCCCTCCGCCCCTCCCCCAAAACAGCACTCGCCTCGTCGCCAACGCCGCCCCGGCCCACCTCATCCTCGGGAGCCCGTGGCTTAGGGTCAGTCTCTGGCGGCGGCAGCTCCACGGAACCGGGCAGTGGCTGGACTTCGCTGGGATCCAGTCCTACCGTCTCGAGCCCGTGATTGCGGGCGGCCGCGGCCATTAGCGGCTGCACGCTGCAGCACATGCGCGGCGCGACCCCGACGAGGCCGACGTGGCAAGGCAGGCCCTCGCGGCCGCGGCCCCGATGGCTCACTGCACGCTGCAGCACCTGCAAGGCACAGCCCCGGCGAGGCCGACATGGCGGTGCAGGTCCTCGCGGCACCCGAAGCGGCAGAGGAAGCGCTCCTGGTCTGGCACGGTGAAGGCGCCTGGCCGCACGAGCCGCGCCCAGGCGAGCAGGGCGCTGCCGGGCACGTCGTACCTGTGGAAACCAAAAGGTACGGATACCGCTACTCCCCGGACCTCCCAGGGTGCGTTCTGACCAGGAGCTCGAGGCGAATCCAGCGGTGGCGACGAGGGCCTCCCAGGAGGCCCAAAGAAGAGAAAAACGAGGGAAGGGCAGCCGTATGGGCACCTGTCCTCCCCTTGACTACCCCCCTCTGCGCGTGGCCGACAGTGGCTGCGTCCGCACGGTGATTCGCCCCATGTCGGCGCACCCCTCCTCCTCCTCCTCCTCCTCCTCCTCCTCCTCCTCCTCCTCCTCCTCCTCCTCCTCCTCCTCCTCCTCCTCCTCCTCCTCCTCCTATTATTCTTCTTAGTATTATTATTCTTATTATTAGTACTATTCATTTTATTATTATTAGTATTAGTATTATTATTATTAGTATTAGTATTAGTATTAGTATTAGTATTAGTATTATTATTATCATCATCATCATCATCATCATCATCATCATCATCATCATCATCATCATCATCATCATCATCATCATCCTTATTATTATTAGTATTATTATTATTAGTATTATTATTAGTATTATTAATATTATTATTAATATTATTATTAATATTATTAGTAGTATTATTATGCTTATGTGTAGTCTTCGTATTATTATTCGTTTTCCTCTTTTTAATATTAGTGTTCGTCTTATTAGTAATAATATTATTTCTGTTCCTAATATTATGAGTCTTAGTTTTCTTCTTCGTATCATCATTGTTATTATTAATATTCGTACTAGTATTAGTAGTAGTCTTAATATGTTGATTCGCCTTATTCTGAACATTATTATTCGTATTATTCGTAGTATTATTACTCTTCGTTTGATCAGTATTGTTCGTCGTATTAGTATTATTCTTCTTATTCTTCTAATTATTATTACTAATATTAATATTGATAGTATTATTAATATGTTCATTACCATTAGTATTATCAGTATTAATCGTATTATGGCTATTATGATTCGTCTTATTATTAGTGTAATTATTACTAATATGAATAATAATACTGCTATTGTTGTTGTTGTTGTTCGTCTTCCTCCTCCTCCTCATCCTCCTCCTCCGCCTCCTCCTCCTCCTCCTCCTCTTCCTCCTCCTCCTCCTCCTCCTCCTCCTCC